CCTCCTTAAAGTAGAAGCCAACAGACAATTTGGAAAATTCATTATATTCCATCACTTCTCTGTTCCTACTTTTTAACAGTTTAATCTCTCTAAGGAAAAAGTCTGCATCTACATGTTTATAAGGCATCGAGAGCTTCTACACTTGCCCAGCAAAGTACAGATAGATTTAACTCTCCTCCTGGATGGGGATTTAATTCCTCACTCCAGCTTCTCAGGTTAATTAATCCCTCAGGTTCAAGCTCTCCAAGCCCAGCTGGTGACAAGATGTCAGTAGATTTTGCTCAAGATCCATTTTTTCATAAAAGCACCCTGAGCACACATTCCAGAGCACTCGGGAACAAAGTGACAGTGCCAGCCAGGGCACATCTCCTATTGGAGGAAGTTCCTAAATCACCTAAAGCGGTCTGAAAATGCACCTGAATGTGTGGCAATGTCACGCAGGGAAGTGAGAAGAATCGGGAGTGAATGACTGTGATGTGAGGAAATGATGACTACGTGCTGCCAGCTGTTCTTATCTAGAAAACACAGGGATGTAAGACTTCATTACAGGGATTTGAGTGTAGAAACGTGTTTGCTGTCACTGAGGCGATATCGGAAGTAAAATAAATACGAGATGATTCACTAATTCAAGGTGAGAACAGAGGAAGACCGGCAGGGCCCGGAACCCACCCCGAACACCAAGCGCTGTCCTTCTCCTCCGCGAGCTCGTCGGCTCGTTCCACCGCCACGGCCGCTTCTCGCTCGCTCTGCCCAGCCCGGCCGGGCCTCCCCTCAACTTCCCACCGGGATTTTCCCCTTTCCCCGCTCCCACCCCCCGATCCAGGCGCCGCTCCTCCCTCTCCCCCTCACCGGGACGCGCCGCCCGTCTCCATGGCAACCACCACGCTCGGGGGCCTCGCGGGGCTGCCCCGGCGGGCGCCTGCGCGGCGGGTCTAGGGCCGCCCTTCCCGGTATCTCCCGCTCGGGATCGCCCCCGGGGGGACGCTGGGACGGGGCGAGGGGCGCGGCAAGGGCGGCGCGGGGGCCGCTGTACCCCCTCCACCACCACCACCATCCCCACCATCATCTCGGTGCCGCCCGCTCAGGCGGCGTCCGAACGGCCCCTGGCGGGTCCTCGCGGCGCTCTTCCCGGCGGGCCGCGCGGGGCGGGTCTCTCTGGCCGCCATCTTGGGGCGCTCGGGGTGAGGGGGATCGGGGCCAGCGGGGCTCGGGCCGGGCAGCGGGGCCGGGCGGGGCCGCCCCCCTTCCTGCGGGGCTCGGCGGTGGGCGCGGGACTCCCGGGGCTCTCCAGATGGCGCGGTGCGGGCCGGGGAGAGCGCGGGATGGCGCCGATGCGCGGCGGATGGTGCCCGCCGCGGGTCGGGGCCCTGGGCCGGAGGCGCCCGGGGCGGCCGCGCTGTGGGGGAGCGGAGGGTCACGGGGCTCAGGGTGGCCCCCAGGTGTTCACTCATCGCTGTGTGTCGTTTCCAGGCCTGCCGGGACCGGGTCTGCGGGAGGACACCATGACCGGGAGGTGAGTGACTGCCCGGGGATATTCGGCTCGCTGCTGCAGCGCTGTTCACCTGGGCATTTCTGGGAGTGTTAAAACAGCGGGCAGTGATCCGTGTTCCTGTGGCTGCTCTAGTTTTCCAGGATGACTCCTCTGCCCGGTGTTCTGCTTGGCCCACAGATGTATGTCCCTGTTCCGAAGCTGCTGTCACGGGCTGTTACAACTGTTGTAAGGCTGTGCCACGCTTTCCTTGGCCTGTCACTAAATGCGGGATATCGATGATGGTTTTGTTAGTACAGTGTTTGTGGACCTCTAGTGTGCAGGAGAGGCTTGGACATCCTGCTCCCTTGAGTAAGGGAGCTACTATGCCATCGAGATTTTTTGTTGATGTAGGGACTGAGTTTGTAAATGAGGGGGATTGACTGAGTACTCTGTTGTCCGGAGGGGTTTTGGACACCTCCCTGGAAGTGTTCAAGGCCAGGTTGGATGGGGTTCTAAGCAACCTGCTCTAGTGGAAGGTGTCCCTGCTCATGGCAAGGGGGTTGGAACTAGGTGGTCTGTAATGTCCCTTCCAACCCAAACCATTCCATGATTCTGTGAATCACAGCTTTGTCTTGACGTTTATCCGTGAAGTTCATCTTCTGTTATACATGTGTGGCAGGGAGGACTGGATATCTCAGCTTGACCCTGCTGTATCCCGGGACAGGTGGTGGATGCAGTTGGGACAGATGTGCTGTGTGCACGGTGTGTGGAGCAGCCTTATAATGGCTTTACCTGGGTAGTGCAGACAGGACTTTGTCCTCAGGAGTTGCTGTGGAGTTTGTGTGATGTCTGTGTCCAGCAGATGTGGAGTTGTGTCTCTGGCTGCCTCCAGAGGCTGCAACTAAATCCTTTGAGGCTACAAATTAGGAGCAGTTCATACTTTTTGTGGGAGTTACTGCAAGACAGGAGGCTGTTTTTGTAGTGTGTAGACAAAAAGCCATGTTTATTCATCGTAGTATCAGTAGACATCATAGTATCAGTAGACACCTGCTAATGCTGAAACACTTCAGCTTTAGTGTAAAGCCTGTAGTGTGGTGTCAGCTGCACAGTTCTCATAAATACTTCATGACCAGGTATTTGGGTTTCCTCTGTTTGCTGGGCGTAAGGATTTGCAGTGGTTTGTAAAGGTCAGGTTTTTCCTCTGCTGAATTTCTACCAGTTTGTGCTGAAACAGCACGTGATTTGGTTTTACTTTTGTTACCTTGGAGTGAATTGTAACTTGCAAACATTCTTCATGTCTCCAGGCTGTGGTGCAAGGCCATTTTTGCTGGCTACAAACGTGGCCTCCGAAACCAGCGGGAGCACACAGCTCTTCTGAAGATTGAAGGTGTTTATGCCCGCCAGGAGACAGACTTCTACCTGGGCAAGAGGTGTGCCTATGTGTACAAAGCTAAAAAGTAAGTCACTTTTTATTCTTATGTTGAATTAGTCAACTCTTGTGTCAGCTTTTGCACTTGCCAGGATGTGAGCAGGCTGTTCACAGAGCTGTTGTTAAAACAAAAATTAATTGTGCTGGATTTATCAATAGAGTGTCCGTGGGGTGCTTTGTGGGCCAGTTTCCTGGCTTAGTTTTGTTTTAAAAGTCCTTGGTTATTTTTGCTTTAGTTGGATGGTATGTTTTAATTTAGACAGTTATATTCTGTGAAATAATCATTCACTTCATAAATGGTGTGTTAAGAGAGCAAATGAGATGAGAAACAAGTTTTGCCTGAGAGTGGCAAAAAGTGAAGGTGGGTTGATAGAGTAAATTGAGATGAGGTGCATTTGTGTGGAGTTGAGCACTACGAGCTGTTGAGTTACTTAAACAATAGAATGATTTTGTGAAGCCTGGAGTAATTTGTATGCTGCCTTTTGTGTGGCCATGTCAGAGCACTCTCTGTCACTTCTGCTCTGCTGCCACTGGAAGACAGATGCCATGAGAACAGCAACTTATTACCTTTCACTTCCTTTTGTTTTTATTTTATTGAGTGTAGTTGTTAGTATTCAGAATTGCCTTGAATAAAATCGATTGGATTATTAACTTGACTACCGTCATTTCCAACGTATGGTACGTGACTGTTCATCTAAAGCACTTTATGTCATCTATTCTAGTGGCTTATTCTTCTCTTGCCTTTGTTGTGCGTGGAGAAATCTTATTTATAAGGTGTTGTATTTTCTTTGGAGTTGAAATTTTTCAGTATGAACACATTAGCAGCAGAGTTTTCCAAATTTTTGAGCCTGGTAACTTGTTAAGTGGAGCTTCTGGCAAATTGAAAGGTACAGTGAAAATTTCAGACCTGGCAAATTTCGCAGGTAAATGGAAGTGGAAGTTGGTCTGGTTAAAGAAGGCTGTGGATTAAAGTCATTGAGGTGCCTTGAAGAGGCCACACTGTCTCTGATGGTGACAGCAGAGCTGTGACTGCCGTGCTCAGCTGTTCCTTTCCTCTCTTCCCCAGCAACACCGTAACTCCCGGGGGGAAGCCCAACAGGACACGGGTGATCTGGGGGAAGGTGACACGGGCCCATGGGAACAGTGGCATGGTCCGTGCCAAGTTCCGCTCCAACCTTCCTGCCAAGGCCATTGGACACAGGATTCGGGTGGTAAGTGGATTTATTTTGGCAACAAGATATTTATTGGCAGTTTTCAGGGTGCCTTTTTATTCCACGTAGGAGGAGAGAACACTTGAACTGTGGTTTTGTTCTGTTGGTGTCGTGTTCAACATGGCTCAGTGACTGTGTTCCTTTTGGAGCCAAGAGAGGTTATTCCTTGGCTTCTTGGGCTCAGGGGATTTGCCTCATTGCCAGGGGCCTGTGCGCTTGCTCCGGTTGTCTGGAAGGCTCTTCAAGTTCCAGGACTCAGGTCCCTTCTAAAGCGACCTTGATTTCTTTTTCCTGGATCTTTTCCATGTATTTTTGCACCCTTCTACTCCAGTTCCTACCTGTTAATTTTTGTGCTACCTCCTAAATGTTGTAACTGAGGGGAGTGCTGTCCTAACGGGTCCCCTGGTACCCGCTCCACAGTCAGTGTCTTAGCCACAGGGCTTCGGTGGGACTGTACCTTTTGGTACAGTACTCACCCAGAGTTGTGATGCAGTATTTTCATACTGATGATGTCAAAAGGAGTATCAGAGGGGTGCAGCCCTTCCTTTCTGCCTCTTTCCTGTGCCTTAGAAAAAGCACAGTAGGAGCAGCACAGTTAAATCCTGAATCTAGAGCCATGGGCACTGTTGCTGTCAGTGTGCAGGAGGGCTAACAAAGTGCTACTGCAAGGCACTGAACCAGCTGTTGGGCTTTTCCATTGTCACACCTCTTCTCTCTAAACTGGGGGGTTGCATTTATAGCAGTTGAAGAGATTGATGGTCTAGATTGTAACTGCAAAACTTGTGTTTAAAAACAAGATATCTAACATGATTCTATCTGGTTTTGTGTTTTACAGATGCTGTATCCATCTAGGATCTAAATTTTTATTGAAAATAAAATGGAGAATCTGTTTAACTTTCGTACATTTCTGGTTTTTATCCCCTCCACCAATTTTGAGGGACTTCTCTCTCAGTAGTTTATCAGAGTTGACAGCACAGAGATGCTGTTGGGACACAAAGCTACACAGTGGAACAGAGATTGGACACATTCCTGGACAGGTGTTTGTAGAGCAGGCTGCATTCTGAAGATAAATAACTGCCACCTCTGTGCTTCCTGTCATGGAATCAACATCACACACGTTTAGCTCATTGCAGGGCTAAACAATAAATGTTTGCAACCTCACAAACTGCACACAACTGTTGTATAGAACACTAGAAGTGTTTCCTTGCTGACCTAGTAGGGGGGAACTTCCTGCACATGGTGCTGAACTGTTGGTGAGACAAAACTGTGTAATTGTGACATCCTACCCTTAAGAGTGAGATGTCACAGTGGTGGGACACTAAGTCCTAGCAGGTGCAAGTTCTCTCTCACATCTGAAGATAGTAGTTCTAGTAGAATCCTGAATAATGAGTTGGAATGTACCTGGGCAGCACCCATGCCTGTAGTGTCTGCTCTGTGGAATTTATTTAAACCCGTTTTCATCACAGCTCTGTAGTGCCTGAGTGGTAACACTGGTTGGATTCCTGGCCTTATCCCACTGTCTCTTGGGGTGAAGATCTTCACATCACTTTCACAGCTAAGGTTTGTTGAACAAGAAGGGTGGTGAAAAATGAGTTTTAAGTCCTGAAGTGCAAGGCTCAGAGTATCTTAGTACATCCCCCCAAAACACAAGGGAGTTATGAGACAACTGCAGGTTGTCATGGTTGGTGCTGATGTCATAGTCCTAAAATGACCTGTGGATACCCTCAGTGGGCAGTTGTACACATTCTGTGTAGTTCCATCATTTTCAATGCATCCCTAGTCAGGCAGGCAGGTAAGTCCTTGGCTCATCCCTCCCTGGACCTGCTCCAGTGCAGTCCCTCCTTCCCAGGAGATGGGAACTTCCTTCTCCCTGCCTGGCCCTGCTGCCAGTATGTGTCAGGAAGCCCTCTGAGCTGTTGGCTTTGCTTGTCTCCTGCAGTGGGCTGGTATTTCACAGCTAATCCTCTTCCTTCTGAAGGAGATGGAGTAGTTGTATGTGCAGAGTACATTGTTGGGTAAATCAAACTTTCTTTTGAATGGGAATTAGAAAACTGGACCTGTCTGCTCAGCTGTGGTATAGAAGTGATTTTGCTGGACTTGCTTCAAGATGTAATCCTGCTGCCACTGCTGTCCCGGGCAGCAGGAGGGCCATTGCTGTGGAAAGCTGCATTTTTTTAACACAGAGAAACTGCAGCTTAGGGGATGTTGGGCCAAGTCAAGTAGGGCTTTGGTCTTCCACAGCTACCAGTGGGTTGTACACATAGGATTCAAAGAAAGATGGGTGGAATTTCCAGATTTAACCATGAGAGGGGAAGGAGGAGGAAACATAGTGAGCAAATTTGACTGTAACAACAGGTTGGTAGGCTTATGGTCACTACCATGTAACTGGATTTTGCTGATGAGAAGGTAGTAAGTCCTCTTGAGTTTGATGCCTAAAAATACATAATGGTCCCTTTTCTCTCTCCTGTCATCTTTTTCTATTGTACCAGATTGCTGAGGTACAAAGCCTGTTCCTGGGAGGTCCAACATCAAACAGCACAAGGCTGCAATTTTTGAATCTTTGTGTCAAAACTCTGCTATTTCCTTTCATGTTCATTTGGTCCTACCAAACCCAGCGTTTGCTGCTCAGAGCAGCAGGTGCTGCCTGTTTTGAGGACTGTGCTGTGCAACTGCCTTTGCTACAGCAACCCCCTTCCACTCCTTTCCCCAGCAGCACAGCAAACTGACGTGTGGGAGGAAGCTATGGCATCAAAGGAGCCTGCCTCCTTCGTGGACCGGACCACCTGGGAGCTCCTCAACCTGCTGGACATGCTGGGAAGGCGGAATGGACGGGTGGGAGTGATGGAGGTGGACGATGCCGAATCAAGAGCCCCCTCATTGCTGGTGGACTTTACCCGGGACCTGTGTGGCACAGGTGACATCAAACATAAGCCACAGCAGACAGGGAGTGAGGGAAAGGAAGAGGAGGATGTGATCCCGCCGCATCTGATCTTTATGCTGTGGCAAGCCAGTGTGTTGAAGAGGCTCATGCAGTGGGATCACTTGGAGGAGGCCATCCGGGATGTGAGGAACCTCCTCCCTTGCCTACCGGATGTGCTGGTGCTTGTGATGATCCGTCCAGACCGCCAGGAGCAGCTGGACCAGGCAGTGAGAGCACTGAGGAGAATGCAGTGTGTGCTGGATGGGGCTCTGCAACTGCCCGTGGAGACAGCGATCTACAGCCCAGGCCAGCCTGGAAGTGTCCTGGAGGCAAAGAGAGCTGCCTGTAGAGCACTGAGAGAAGCCTTGAACTGCCATGAAGGTAACTGGTGACACAGCTAAACACGTGGCTGAGGGACAGACAGGGTTTTTGGAAAAAAAAACATGTTCAGGGTGGAGCAGGGAGGAGTCTGAGAGACAGTGTAGATGGAAGTGGTGCTTAGTGGCTGGATTCAGATACAGGAGGGAAGATAAGCAGGCAATGTGAGCTGGAAAAAAGAGTGAGTGCTTAAGCGTAGGGATGGGGATGGACAATGTGTCTGAGCCAACTGAGTCCTCTTCTGACTCAGATGGTGGTGGCTCTTGCCCCAAACCACACATGGCTACAGAAATGCTGCTCAGTGTGAGAGCTGCAGTTCTGACTCCACTGCTGGGGCTTTCTCTGATGATGTTAACAGTTGTTCACTGGAGGGATGTGCCAACCTCTCTGGGTGAGCCACAGGCCAAAGCTTTGAATAGGATGATGCCAACTGTTCTGTCATTTGTATTTCCTCCCCTAGAAGTCGACTCCCAGGAGCCATTTATTATTTCGCTCCCGGAGCTCAGATACTGCCGTGTTCTGCCTGAACGTAGGCAAGACAAGGTATCAAAGACAGATGGAGAATGAATTCCCTTGGGAAGCAGAACCTGTCAGGTTGGTTTTAGCACTGTTCACCTGGATGTCCTTTTGCAGAACACTTCCCTCCTGGTGCCTTGCTTGTCTGCCCCAGGCCTTCTGCTGCCAGAAGGGGACACTGCGCCCTCAGCATCACACTGTCCTGGCCACAAACCTCGGAGTTCTTTGCTGCACTGGCTGAACAATCTACCCCAGGAAACTTCTATCAAAAATGACTGAGTTTCTGCTTTGCATAAAATGCCTTGCTTGATTATCAAAATCTCCCTGAGAAACCTGTCCCTAAGAGACCAGCTGCCAGCAAAGAGGGAATCAGAGCAGGCCAGAGGCCTCTGGATTTAAACTGTCCCAAAACTGAGATAATGAAAGAAACTCAGAGCTAAGACCTAAGACCATGTTTTCCCAAGAAAGCCTGGATGCAGGGGTCTTTGGAATGTAGTTCTCATCAACACAAAGCTCCTGAAACTCCCCAGGGTTCTTTGTAGCAGGGAGCTGACCTTACATACAAGTGGATACCAATAGACATCCAGCAGGTTGAATTATTGAGATAGGTTATTTTGGATGGAAGGAACTGTGGGAGCAATAGATTATTATTAAGTCCAATTACCCACATAATAGCTGAACTCATTTCCCATCCTCTCTGGGCATGGCAAGGCACTATGGGTAGCTGCCTGGTTTTGTATTGGGAATTTAAATGTATTTCTTTTCTGGTTTTTTTTTTACAGATCTTTTCTTGCCCTAAGGTCTTCATTATCATCAAAAGAAGGATTAAAAGCCTGATATTTATCTCATTTCTATATGTCTTTGTGTTTATCTATAAGCTTTAAAGCTTATATTTAAGACTACAAAACTCCTGCTGAAACTGCAGGTTTGTGCAGTATGGTACAGAAGGGATGGGATTTGGGGGTGGTACAGAGCCTCTGAACCAACATTTCTCAGGGAAAGGATCCTCCAGCTTATTTTTCAAATATGGGCTCTTTCCACATCCTTAAGTACCGTGTGGCTTTACAAAACAAACCAACCTTGGTGTGGGAGTTCAGGTGGTGCTGGTGCTTGGCAGCCTTTTGGATGAGGTGACCCAATTGCTCTGTTGTGGAAGAGGCTGTCCACGAGCACTTGGGCATCTGAAGAGGAATTACGCCCTTCACTAGTGAGGACATTGACTTTTGTTTTATGGGTGAAGCTAATGCAGAAATAGTTCCCTTGAGTCAATGCGAGATGTGTACAGTTCAGGCTGTTTGTGAGTGTAGGAAGGTTGGTGTTAAGAGCCTCCTGATCAGCACATTAGGACATCCTTAAAGCAAGTATCCACGATGAGGTCCTGTGTTTCTGTTATTTCCTGTGGCATCTGAAATTCATGGATAACCACCAAAATCCAGGCATAGGCTGTGCAGCTCTCAGGTTTCTCCTTTGGCAGCATGTTTGCACTGTGTTCAGGCACTTTTGTGCATGGTGATGTGCAGCACTGCCAAGCACTGCTGGTGAAAGCAGAAAGAAACTTTGAGGCTGAAATCCTGGCCAGGGCCTGGGAGCACAGGAATGCCCTGCAAGGGCAAGTGATGTAGCCACAGGGAAGTGTGGCTGGGATGAGGAGGAGAGGAGGCAGAATGCCATGGATGCTCTCAAGCTGCAACCTTGCTTCATTCTCCATTTAATCCTGAGTGGATATACAGGAGTCTTAGAGCTCCCTGCTCTGCTGCTGGGACTGCTCCCCCAACTTGCTGTAGTCCAACAAAGGCAAGTCCTGGGACATCTGCTCTTTAAATGCTGAATGCCTTTCTCACTTTGACTAATGCAGGATTGGTGGGCTCTCACATGACAGCTCTGCTGCCAGGCTGGCCAGGAGCAAAGTGGGAACAAAGAGCTGTGGCCTGAACCCTCTCCACCCACCTCAGCTGCAGCCCAAGGAGGAGGCACACCAGGAGGCATAAGGAGCACTGCTGCTTGGCCCAGAAATCTGCCAAGGGCAACAGCTCTACTCCCAGAACAGAAGAGAACAACTTGCTCTGCTCAGCTGACATCACACATTGTGAGCAGCAGAGAGCAGCTGTCCTGTGGGCTCTTGACACCTGAGCATCTGTGTGTAACCTCTGGAAGATGATCTTGCTCAAGACAGCACCTAAGCCAAGCTTTGCCATCCAGACCAAGCACAGAAAAGCTGGGCTGCTGGTGTCAAAGGCACATGTGTACTGGGAAAGAATGGAGACTGGTGGCTGTGAACAGCTAGTCATGGGTCCTGGTGTCAAACCAAAAGCAAGGTCCAGATGAGGGTCTGGCAGGACAACCAGAAAAAAGACCAAAAGAGGCAGCTTGGTCCTTGGGTCTGATTTCATATTTATTGCCAGTTTTTCAACATCTTCCAGTGGAGGATCAAAGAGCAGAGCAGCCTGAGGGGCAGTCTCCATCCATCTCCAAGGTGATAGGCAGAGGCATCCCTCCTATTGTGTGATCACGACTGACACAACAGTTTGGGTTCCCTGCACATGGCCCTGTGCCAGGTTCCCATCCTCCTCTTCAGACATACCTTCCAATGCCCCCTTGCCGTCCAGAAAGGGATGATGACTTAAGGAAACATGAGGAAACTTAGGACAACTCCAGAGATGGGCAGGAAGAGGCACAGCTTTCAAAGGGAATGGGATTTGGGAGAAGAGAGGCAGGGAAATCTTTGAGGTTCCCCATCAGGAAGCCAGGGTGTGTCCCTGGCATAGGGCAGCCAGGAAGTTCCAAACTTTATTTGCTAATGGTGTGTAACCTCCCCTGAGTGGAGCTCAGAGAAGTGTGATGACTTGCATGGATCCAGGCCAGGGCTGAATTGGTACAGGCTGCCACGGGACCAAAACTGGAGCTGACCCAGCTGTCCCTGGAGGTCTGGGGCAAGGGGACCTGGGCAGAACAAAGTGATGACCCAACTTGGATTTCGTTGTGACTGAACTTGTAACAGAAAGGGTTTTGTCTGGTTTGATACAAAGTTCAAGCTCCAATGGGTGAAAAATAGGAAGAGGTTTGTGTTCAGGGGCCAGAAAGATTGAGAGGAGTTTTGGGGAAGGTCACTGGAGGAGATGGGAAGAGCCATGGAGGAGTGAACAGGAGATGGGTTAGGAGGGTATCAGTGGGACTGGGATGTTCAGGGCAACGGGATAGATGATAGAGGTTTCGGGTATTTTCTTCTCTCACTATTACCTCCTCTGCTACTTCTTTGGAGGACCCTAGCAGATTTCCCTGGATGAAGAGCTCAGTGAGTGCTGGTGCCCTGCAGCAACACTCCTGGTAGTGCTGCACAAGTAAAGCAGATGCTTCACAGCAACTCATAAGGACGTGTTTTTTCAAAGCAGTAAATTGAAGCAGTCTTGGAGAGCAGGTCTGTGACAGAGCACTTGTGCAAAGATTTGCTAAGGCTTAGCTTGTCAGCAGCCAGTTCCCATTCCTGGCTGGCTCAGAGGCTTTTCCAGTGTTCCCGTGAGCACTGATGCTGAGCTGGGTCACTGAACATTGGGCTCAGAGCTACTCCCACAGAATTCCTCTCTGCACTTCTATCCTCAAAATTAGCATGAGAATCCTTTTTCCCCTCTTTCTACTCTCTTTAGAAGCAAGGTTAATCTTGGCAAATGCACTTCTTAAGGGCTCTAATCCAGTGGACCTTTGATTTTGTTTAGACTTCAAGACACTACTAATACACATGCCAAATTTATTTCTCTGAACAAAGCATCTTCTCTCCTCCTTTGAAGTCCAAAATGAGCAGCTGTTGTGTCTGCTCTGAACAGCTATGGGCATATGTAAGAGATGTGATTACTCTCAATTAGGGCTGTCTGTAGAGGTTCTCTACAATTGTGACTGTCAAATGGATACTTGAAGGAGTGTCAGGCCTTCTAAATATATCTGTGTTTTTGCTCAGATTCCTGACAGGCCTCTGAAGATACTTTGTGGGGGAGTACAAATGCTGCTGAGCTCATGATTGACTCTGATCTGTTTGAGTGGTACCTCTTTAAGTAACACAAAAGGAGATAAAGTTGTATGTGCTATTAAATCTTACCTCTGTTAATGAGTAAAGAAATGTAAACAAGGTTGTTTGGGTATTGTGGGTGACATTCACCTTTCCAACCAGCCTTCGCTGGTGTGTACCCAAAATTAACTAAAGAATTGCAGTGGCCATGGAGAACAGTTCTATGTAGTCCCAAATATTAGTTTTTAGTGGCTGTCCTGGCAGTTTAAACATTGTGGCTGCTGCAGAAAAGTAGCCAATGCTTTCTGAGCTGAGTTAGGAAGATAACTTCAATTTTTTCTATACCTTCTCTGCAAGATTTATCTTCGTAAATCTTGGGAATTGCCTGCCTGAAAGCCAACTTCCCAATGCCTGAGGCATCTTGGCATCTCCAGGCTAGTCACTGGCACAGCACTGCTTGAAAACCCTGTGAGACCTGTACTGTAAATGGGCTGCACATCAGGGGGTGTGTAATGGGCACAGGACAGGCTGTGCTGGCAGCTCATAAGGAGTTTAAACACTCTGTGGGTCTTCTTGTGGCAGTCTGCAGGGAGATGAGGGTTTCTGGGACCATCACACCCTCTTGTCCCATCCTGCTGCTGCTGGCAGAGCTCATGGTGCTGATTACACATGGGCATTTCTCCGTTGGACCATGAGGGCCATGAGCAGGATTCTGAACAGATGAGAAAAAAATCCTTGTTAATACAAAATCTGGGTGATACTAAGGCCACACCTGGCTGTTGAGTTATGTCTGACTTTAGCCCTGCCATGTTGACAGCTGCTCTGAGGGCTATCATGTTGGCATGGAAGGTAGGCTCTTGCAACAATAGACCCTGATCTTTGGAAGAGGAGCCTAATCCTTCTGTTTTATCTACCCTCTTCCCTCCCCATTTGCTTATCAGCACATGTAATGAGTAAGTTACTTTTGCTAGGACCCAGGGCAGAAAGTCTCTCTGAAGCCCTTGCCTGGGCTGTCCGGCCCCACGATGCTGGCCTGGGGTAGCATTTGCTCAGACTGTCATATCCGGGGCAAATGTTTTCCAGGATTAAAACTGGTGATGCACAGTGACCTTCCCAAGCTGTCACACCTCTGTTGAGCCGGAGGACCAGCCTGTGGCACATCCCTCGCGGTGCTGTGGCTGTGGCTGCTGATCTGCTGGGCTGTGGGGACAGATGGCCATGAGTAAGGGCAGGGAGCAGGCACCTGGCTCAGACACCTTCCTGGCACAAGTGTGCCCCTATGCACATGTTGGGAGTCACTGATCCAGGGCAGGCACATGGATTTCGGCTCTGCTTTCACCCCCCAGCGCAGTCAGAGATGGTTTGGCTTCAAACGGCCTCAGAGAGGGACTAGCCAAGGTGATTCTGGCCGTTTGCACCTTTGAGCTGTTTATCCCTTCCCAGGTTATTGCGATAAGATATTACCATTACTGGTTTGGAGGAGCCAGTTCTGATATGGCAGAGTGGAAGTATTTACCACGTGCCATGGTTTGGAGCTTCCCCGTGCAAGTGCCAGGGCTGGGCACAGAGGCTTTCATTCACCATCAGACGGCAGAGCCAGCTCATGGGATACATGTAACAAGCGCCAGCACTGAAGCCCTGACTAAAGCAAAGCCCTGGGTAACACTCCAGATTTACCCCTCCAAACATTTGTGCTTTGATGGGACGTGTATCACTGTAGAGCGCTGATGATGCTGGTGGGGCTGTGATTGTGGCCTGTGTTTTGTGTGGAGGGGGATGGATGTGATGTTTGCAGAAGGAAAGCCAAAGGGCGCTGACTTAGGGAGGGATTCAGAGATGCAGTGTGTGGTTTGGGGACTGCAGCTCAGCTGGGTACAAATTGGGAAACTTGTGACCAGTGGGGTGGGTATGTCCTTTGAGGGCATAATTATTTCCAAAGTGGAATTGTTTCCAGGTGTGGCTATAGCTCGGCCAGTCTGTGCAGCTCCATAGTGCCAATGGCACACGATGCCAGGGAGTTCACTCCATGACTGCCCTGGGGTATGGGATGTTACACCCTAAGGGACACCTTATACCCTTTGAGGTGTATGATCAACTGCTCCTCTATTGTGGCCCCGTGTGTGTCCCACTTTGCAGTCACCATAGCCTCTGCTCATCCCCCTCTCACATTCCTAGCCCCTCCACAGCACGGTTTTTGCCTGAATTTTATCACCTCTTCATGTGAAACAAGACCAGCCCGTGGAAGAGCTCCGAGTCTGGTTGTGTGGCCGATCGGGGGGTCCCATGCCTCCCACTAATACCATCTCCTCTGTGCCCACCCTGCAGCAGGCGGGGGCTGTTCTCCGGGGGTGTGTCCGGGTACGGGACGGGGCTGGAAGGGGGCAATCCATAACATTCCGCCCCCGCCCCGCTGCCCGGGGTGTGCGCAGGGGGTGTTGCTCTGCGGGGGGGCCGGGGCTGGTGGCGGGGCGGGTGCGGGGCAGTGGGCGGTGCGGGTTGCGGTGCGGGGCCGGGCAGGGCGCACGGCGGGGGATGGCGGCGGCGGAGCTGCAGGAGCTGCGGGCGCTGGTGGAGCGGGCGGGCGGGCGGCAGGCGGTGCTGCTGGTGGCCGAGGTGGCCGAGGGAGCCCCGGCGGCGCCCGCGATGGCCGCCTTCGCCCGCGACCTCCTGGGCGACGAGGCGCCGCCCGCACCGTGCCCGGTGCCGGGGTGCCGGTCGCGGCGGCGGCGGCG